GTTTATATTCTTGAAAATAAAGCCAAACAAATCGTGCAACAAAGTGGGAAAGGGTATTTCACTACCCTTGTATGAACGTTGACAACTTATAGGCACAACCCACAAGCATTTCAATATAATTATGCATACATTTTTTGTTCTTTTAAAAAATCTAAAACTAAATGTTTGTTTTACCAAAGAAAATTAGAAAACTCATAATTTTTAGTCACTTTTAAATCATTTCTCATAGTATCAATATTGAAAAAAGCTAAACATACGGATCGTTTAAGAATTCGAGCAAAACTTTTTGGTATGTTTAATTATCGACCACCATATAACCGTTTATTTTAAAATTCAAAAACCTTAATGTCACAACAAAAGAAAATAAAAAGCTCTCATGTGGGAGCAAATTCCGACCTATCGGATTCGAACTAGTGACCTAAGGATAATCTGCGTCTACTACAGTCCTCCGCTCTACCAACTGAGCTAAGGTCGGATTGTAATCTATTTCATGCATGTGTACTGATCTAAATATTCTATGAACACAATGACTTGTATTAAGTTAGCATACTCATAGTGAGTCTTTATTACAAATTTGTAAACAAAGTTTGAATTTATAAGAACATTATATTAGAAAAACACTTAATATCTTGCCTAAATCTCATAAATATACGAAAATGAGGGTTTACCTTTAAACGGTTTAAAATACAGTGAAAATTACTTCGAGATTTCCCACTCGTTTCTGATAATACAGTCAATAGCTATGCAATTCTCTTAAACCAATTTCTCATAGAAAAACGAGTTTGTAGTTATACTCTTGTCTAAGCACTTTGAAACGAAATGAAAAAAAAAAGGCTTTCAACTTTAATGATCCGACCTACCGGATTCGAACCAGTGACCTAAGGATTATCTGCATCAACTACAGTCCTCCGCTCTACCAACTGAGCTAAGGTCGGTTTTGTATTATAACACTTTATGCATGTTGATGATTCAAGAGAAGCTTTTTAATCAAATTTAAACTTATCAAGAAGAGGAGTAGAAAGAAAGTTGACTTCATATCTTTCATGCTGTCTTGTTTTTTTAAAGTTTTTTATCAATACTAAATTTTACAGAAAACGGTAACACGAAAGAAAACCGTCCAAATTCAAAAACGATCCATAAAACACAATAAGTAATTTTAAAAACTTACCAACACTCAAAATAAAAACGTGAACGACAGAATTCGAACATGCGCGTGCAAAGCCCACATGATTTCTAGTCATGCCCGATAACCACTCCGGCACATCCACTTTTTCTCTAAACTAAACTTTTATTTCAAAATAGATTAAACCGTATACCATTCTCTATCCTAAATTTTGATCATGAGTGAGAAGTAGAAGATTCCAAGGATGACGCAGTTTATGAACAAAATAAAAAAGATTAGAACCATAAACCTATTTGCCTGTCTTGATTTTTTTGAATTTTTATAATATTTTCTCAATTCAAAAAATAAATTATTTCTAAAGAGCAACTTTGATGATATATTTATGCATGTATTATTGAGAGTGTGCTAGATTGTTTATATTCTTGAAAATAAAGCCAAACAAATCGTGCAACAAAGTGGGAAAGGGTATTTCACTACACTTGTATGAACGTTGACAACTTATAGGCACAACCCACAAGCATTTGAACTTAATTATGCATACATTTTTTGTTCTTTTAAAAAATCTAAAACTAAATGTTTGTTTGACCAAAGAAAATTAGAAAACTCATAATTTTTAGTCACTTTTAAATCATTTCTCATAGTATCAGTATTGAAAAAAGCTAAACATACGTTTCGTTTAAGAATTCGAGCAAAACTTTTTGATATGTTTAATTATCGACCACCATATAACCGTTTATTATAAAATTCAAAAACCTTAATGTCACAACAAAAGAAAATAAAAAGCTCTCATGTGGGAGCAAATTCCGACCTACCGGATTTGAACCAGTGACCTAAGGATAATCTGCGTCTACTACAGTCCTCCTCTCTACCAACTGAGCTAAGGTCGGATTGTATTCTATTTCATGCATGTGTACTAATCTAAATATTCTATGAACACAATGATTTGTATTAAGTTAGCATACTCATAGTGAGTCTCTATTACAAATTTGTTAGCAAAGTTTGAATTTATAAAAACATTATATTAGAAAAACACTTAATATCTTGCCTAAATCTCGTAAATATACGAAAATGAGGGTTTACCCTTAAACGGTTTAAAATACAGTGAAAATTACATCGAGATTTCCCACTCATTTCTGATAATACAGTCAATAGCTATGCAATTCTCTTAAACCAATTTCTCATAGAAAAACGAATTTGTAGTTATACTCTTGTCTAAGCACTTTGAAACGAAATGGAAAAAAAAAAGCTTTCAACTTTAATGATCCGACCTACCGGATTCGAACCAGTGACCTAAGGATTATCTGCGTCATCTACAGTCCTCCGCTCTACCAACTGAGCTAAGGTCGGTTTTGTATTATAACACTTTATGCATGTTGATGATTCAAGAGAAGCTTTTTAATCAAATTTAAACTTATCAAGAAGAGGAGTAGAAAGAAAGTTGACATCATATCTTTCATGTTGTCTTGTTTTTTTAAAGTTTTTTATCAATACTAAATTTTACTGAAAACGGTAACAGGAAAGAAAACCGTCCAAATTCAAAAACGATCCATCAAACACAATAAGTAATTTTAAAAACTTACCAACACTCAAAATAAAAACGTGAACGGCAGGATTCGAACCTGCGCGGGCAAAGCCCACATGATTTCTAGTCATGCCCGATAACCACTCCGGCACGTCCACTTTTTCTCTAAACTAAACTTTTATTTCAAAATAGACTAAACCGTATACCATTCTCTATCCTAAATTTTGATCATGAATGAGAAGTAGAAGATTCCAAGGATGACACAGTTTATGAACAAAATAAAAAAGATTAGAACCATAAACCTTTTTGGCTATCTTGATTTTTATGAATTTTTATAATATTTTCTCAATTCAAAAAATAAATTATTTCTACAGAGCAACTTTGATGATATACTTATGCATGTATTATTGAGAGTGTGCTATGATTGTTTATATTCTTGAAAATAAAGCCAAACAAATCGTGCAACAAAGTGGGAAAGGGTATTTCACTACCCTTGTATGAACGTTGACAACTTATAGACACAACCCACAAGCATTTGAATATAATTATGCATACATTTTTTGTTCTTTTAAAAAATCTAAAACTAAATGTTTGTTTGACCAAAGAAAATTAGAAAACTCATAATTTTTAGTCACTTTTAAATCATTTCTCATATTATTAGTATTGAAAAAAGCTAAACATACGTATCGTTTAAGAATTCGAGCAAAAAATTTTGGTATGTTTAATTATCGACCACCATATAACCGTTTATTATAAAATTCAAAAACCTTAATGTCACAACAAAAGAAAATAAAAAGCTCTCATGTGGGAGCAAATTCCGACCTACCGGATTCGAACCATTGACCTAAGGATATAATCTGCGTCTACTACAGTCCTCCGCTCTACCAACTGAGCTAAGGTCGGATTGTATTCTATTTCATGCATGTGTACTGATCTAAATATTTTATGAACACAATGATTTGTATTAAGTTAGCATACTCATAGTGAGTCTCTATTACAAATTTGTAAACAAAGCTTGAATTTAGAAAAACATTATATTAGAAAAACACTTAATATCTTGCCTAAATCTCGTAAATATACGAAAATGAGGGTTTACCCTTAAACGGTTTAAAATACAGTAAAAATTACTTCGAGATTTCCCACTCATTTCTGATAATACAGTCAATAGCTATGCAATTCTCTTACACCAATTTCTCATAGAAAAACGAGTTTGTAGTTATATTCTTGTCTAAGCACTTTGAAACGAAATGGAAAAAAAAAAGCTTTCAACTTTAATGATCCGACCTACCGGATTCGAACCAGTGACCTAAGGATTACCTGCGTCATCTACAGTCCTCCGCTCTACCAACTGAGCTAAGGTCGGTTTTGTATTATAACACTTTATGCATGTTGATGATTCAAGAGAAGCTTTTTAATCAAATTTAAACTTATCAAGAAGAGGAGTAGAAAGAAAGTTGACGTCATATCTTTCATGTTGTCTTGTTTTTTTAAAGTTTTTTATCAATACTAAATTTTACTGAAAACGGTAACATGAAAGAAAACCGTCCAAATTCAAAAACGATCCATAAAACACAATAAGTAATTTTAAAAACTTACCAACACTCAAAATAAAAACGTGAACGGCAGGATTCGAACCTGCGCGGGCAAAGCCCACATGATTTCTAGTCATGCCCGATAACCACTCCGGCACGTCCACTTTTTCTCTAAACTAAACTTTTATTTCAAAATAGACTAAACCGTATACCATTCTCTATCCTAAATTTTGATCAAGAGTGAGAAGTAGAAGATTCCAAGGATGACACAGTTTATGAACAAAACAAAAAAAGATTAGAACCATAAACCTTTTTGGCTATCTTGATTTTTTTGAATTTTTATAATATTTTCTCAATTCAAAAAATAAATTATTTCTAAAGAGCAACTTTGATGATATACTTATGCATGTATTATTGAGAGTGTGCTGTGATTGTTTATATTCTTGAAAATAAAGCCAAACAAATCGTGCAACAAAGTGGGAAAGGGTATTTCACTACCCTTGTATGAACGTTGACAACTTATAGGCACAACCCACAAGCATTTGAATATAATTATGCATACATTTTTTGTTCTTTTAAAAAATCTAAAACTAAATGTTTGTTTGACCAAAGAAAATTAGAAAACTCATAATTTTTAGTCACTTTTAAATCATTTCTCATATTATTAGTATTGAAAAAAGCTAAACATACGTATCGTTTAAGAATTCGAGCAAAAAATTTTGGTATGTTTAATTATCGACCACCATATAACCGTTTATTATAAAATTCAAAAACCTTAATGTCACAACAAAAGAAAATAAAAAGCTCTCATGTGGGAGCAAATTCCGACCTACCGGATTCGAACCATTGACCTAAGGATATAATCTGCGTCTACTACAGTCCTCCGCTCTACCAACTGAGCTAAGGTCGGATTGTATTCTATTTCATGCATGTGTACTGATCTAAATATTTTATGAACACAATGATTTGTATTAAGTTAGCATACTCATAGTGAGTCTCTATTACAAATTTGTAAACAAAGCTTGAATTTAGAAAAACATTATATTAGAAAAACACTTAATATCTTGCCTAAATCTCGTAAATATACGAAAATGAGGGTTTACCCTTAAACGGTTTAAAATACAGTAAAAATTACTTCGAGATTTCCCACTCATTTCTGATAATACAGTCAATAGCTATGCAATTCTCTTACACCAATTTCTCATAGAAAAACGAGTTTGTAGTTATACTCTTGTCTAAGCACTTTGAAACGAAATGGAAACAAAAAAGCTTTCAACTTTAATGATCCGACCTACCGGATTCGAACCAGTGACCTAAGGATTATCTGCGTCATCTACAGTCCTCCGCTCTACCAACTGAGCTAAGGTCGGTTTTGTATTATAACACTTTATGCATGTTGATGATTGAAGAGAAGCTTTTTAATCAAATTTAAACTTATCAAGAAGAGGAGTAGAAAGAAAGTTGACTTCATATCTTTCATGTTGTCTTGTTTTTTTAAAGTTTTTTATCAATATTAAATTTTACTGAAAACGGTAACATGAAAGAAAACCGTCCAAATTCAAAAACGATCCATAAAACACAATAAGTAATTTTAAAAACTTACCAACACTCAAAATAAAAACGTGAACGGCAGGATTCGAACCTGCGCGGGCAAAGCCCACATGATTTCTAGTCATGCCCGATAACCACTCCGGCACGTCCACTTTTTCTCTAAACTAAACTTTTATTTCAAAATAGACTAAACCGTATACCATTCTCTATCCTAAATTTTGATCAAGAGTGAGAAGTAGAAGATTCCAAGGATGACACAGTTTATGAACAAAACAAAAAAAGATTAGAACCATAAACCTTTTTGGCTATCTTGATTTTTTTGAATTTTTATAATATTTTCTCAATTCAAAAAATAAATTATTTCTAAAGAGCAACTTTGATGATATACTTATGCATGTATTATTGAGAGTGTGCTGTGATTGTTTATATTCTTGAAAATAAAGCCAAACAAATCGTGCAACAAAGTGGGAAAGGGTATTTCACTACCCTTGTATGAACGTTGACAACTTATAGGCACAACCCACAAGCATTTGAATATAATTATGCATACATTTTTTGTTCTTTTAAAAAATCTAGAACTAAATGTTTGTTTGATCAAAGAAAATTAGAAAACTCATAATTTTTAGTCACTTTTAAATCATTTCTCATATTATTAGTATTGAAAAAAGCTAAACATACGTATCGTTTAAGAATTCGAGCAAAAGTTTTTGGTATGTTTAATTATCGACCACCATATAACCGTTTATTATAAAATTCAAAAACCTTAATGTCACAACAAAAGAAAATAAAAAGCTCTCATGTGGGAGCAAATTCCGACCTACCGGATTCGAACCAGTGACCTAAGGATAATCTGCGTCTACTACAGTCCTCCGCTCTACCAACTGAGCTAAGGTCGGATTGTATTCTATTTCATGCATGTGTACTGATCTAAATATTTTATGAACACAATGATTTGTATTAAGTTAGCATACTCATAGTGAGTCTCTATTACAAATTTGTAAACAAAGCTTGAATTTAGAAAAACATTATATTAGAAAAACACTTAATATCTTGCCTAAATCTCGTAAATATACGAAAATGAGGGTTTACCCTTAAACGGTTTAAAATACAGTAAAAATTACTTCGAGATTTCCCACTCATTTCTGATAATACAGTCAATAGCTATGCAATTCTCTTACACCAATTTCTCATAGAAAAACGAGTTTGTAGTTATACTCTTGTCTAAGCACTTTGAAACGAAATGGAAAAAAAAAAACTTTCAACTTTAATGATCCGACCTACCGGATTCGAACCAGTGACCTAAGGATTATCTGCGTCATCTACAGTCCTCCGCTCTACCAACTGAGCTAAGGTCGGTTTTGTATTATAACACTTTATGCATGTTGATGATTCAAGAGAAGCTTTTTAATCAAATTTAAACTTATCAAGAAGAGGAGTAGAAAGAAAGTTGACTTCATATCTTTCATGTTGTCTTGTTTTTTTAAAGTTTTTTATCAATACTAAATTTTACTGAAAACGGTAACATGAAAGAAAACCGTCCAAATTCAAAAACGATCCATAAAACACAATAAGTAATTTTAAAAACTTACCAACACTCAAAATAAAAACGTGAACGGCAGGATTCGAACCTGCGCGGGCAAAGCCCACATGATTTCTAGTCATGCCCGATAACCACTCCGGCACGTCCACTTTTTCTCTAAACTAAACTTTTATTTCAAAATAGACTAAACCGTATACCATTCTCTATCCTAAATTTTGATCATGAGTGAGCAGTAGAAGATTCCAAGGATGACACAGTTTATGAACAAAATAAAAAAGATTAGAACCATAAACCTTTTTGGCTATCTTGATTTTTTTGAATTTTTATAATATTTTCTCAATTCAAAAAATAAATTATTTCTAAAGAGCAACTTTGATGATATACTTATGCATGTATTATTGAGAGTGTGCTGTGATTGTTTATATTCTTGAAAATAAAGCCAAACAAATCGTGCAACAAGGTGGGAAAGGGTATTTCACTACCCTTGTATGAACGTTGACAACTTATAGGCACAACCCACAAGCATTTGAATATAATTATGAATACATTTTTTGTTCTTTTAAAAAATCTAAAACTAAATGTTTGTTTGACCAAAGAAAATTAGAAAACTCATAATTTTTAGTCACTTTTAAATCATTTCTCATATTATTAGTATTGAAAAAAGCTAAACATACGTATCGTTTAAGAATTCGAGCAAAAAATTTTGGTATGTTTAATTATCGACCACCATATGACCGTTTATTATAAAATTCAAAAACCTTAATGTCACAACAAAAGAAAATAAAAAGCTCTCATGTGGGAGCAAATTCCGACCTACCGGATTCGAACCAGTGACCTAAGGATAATCAGCGTCTACTACAGTCCTCCGCTCTACCAACTGAGCTAAGGTCGGATTGTATTCTATTTCATGCATGTGTACTGATCTAAATATTCTATGAACACAATGATTTGTATTAAGTTAGCATACTCATAGTGAGTCTCTATTACAAATTTGTAAACAAAGCTTGAATTTAGAAAAACATTATATTAGAAAAACACTTAATATCTTGCCTAAATCTCGTAAATATACGAAAATGAGGGTTTACCCTTAAACGGTTTAAAATACAGTAAAAATTACTTCGAGATTTCCCACTCATTTCTGATAATACAGTCAATAGCTATGCAATTCTCTTACACCAATTTCTCATAGAAAAACGAGTTTGTAGTTATACTCTTGTCTAAGCACTTTGAAACGAAATGGAAAAAAAAAAGCTTTCAACTTTAATGATCCGACCTACCGGATTCGAACCAGTGACCTAAGGATTATCTGCGTCATCTATAGTCCTCCGCTCTACCAACTGAGCTAAGGTCGGTTTTGTATTATAACACTTTATGCATGTTGATGATTCAAGAGAAGCTTTTTAATCAAATTTAAACTTATCAAGAAGAGGAGTAGAAAGAAAGTTGACTTCATATCTTTCATGTTGTCTTGTTTTTTTAAAGTTTTTTATCAATACTAAATTTTACTGAAAACGGTAACATGAAAGAAAACCGTCCAAATTCAAAAACGATCAATAAAACACAATAAGTAATTTTAAAAACTTACCAACACTCAAAATAAAAACGTGAACGGCAGGATTCGAACCTGCGCGGGCAAAGCCCACATGATTTCTAGTCATGCCCGATAACCACTCCGGCACGTCCACTTTTTCTCTAAACTAAACTTTTATTTCAAAATAGACTAAACCGTATACCATTCTCTATCCTAAATTTTGATCAAGAGTGAGAAGTAGAAGATTCCAAGGATGACACAGTTTATGAACAAAACAAAAAAAGATTAGAACCATAAACCTTTTTGGCTATCTTGATTTTTTTGAATTTTTATAATATTTTCTCAATTCAAAAAATAAATTATTTCTAAAGAGCAACTTTGATGATATACTTATGCATGTATTATTGAGAGTGTGCTGTGATTGTTTATATTCTTGAAAATAAAGCCAAACAAATCGTGCAACAAAGTGGGAAAGGGTATTTCACTACCCTTGTATGAACGTTGACAACTTATAGGCACAACCCACAAGCATTTGAATATGCATACATTTTTTTTTCTTTGAAAAACTCTAAAACTAAATGTTTGTTTGACCAAAGAAAATTAGAAAACTCATAGTTTTTAGTCACTTTTAAATTATTTCTCATCGTATCGATATTGAAAAAAGCTAAACATACGAATCGTTTAAGTATTCGAGCAAAACTTTTCGGTATGTTTAATTGTTGACCACCATATAACCGTTTTTGATTATAGAATTCAAAATCCTTAATGTCACAACAAAAGAAAATTAAAAAAGCTCTTATGTGGGAGCAAATTCCGACCTACCGGATTCGAACCAGTGACCTAAAGATAATCTGCGTCTACTACAGTCCTCCGGTCTACCAACTGAGCTAAGGTCGGATTGTATTCTATTTCATGCATGTGTACTGATCTAAATATTCTATGAACACAATGATTTGTATTAAGTTAGCATACTCATAGTGAGTCTCTATTACAAAGTCGTTAAGAGAAAGTCTCTATTAAGCTATAAAAATCGTGCAAAAAAGCGGCAAATGTTTTTTCACTACTACCCATGAATGAACGTTGAAAACTCTAAAATTATGTGTTGGTTTGATCAAAGAAAATATAAAACATTGGAGTGGAATGACTGTTTTGGTTAAACCTCCTTTGTTTGCTCATTTGGTTATTTCTTTTGTGTATTTGTTGGTTAGAACTTTTGCCTTGAGTATTTTGCTTCTTTATTTTTCTTGCCTTTTTTTCTCTTAAGAGTAATTTGAGAGCTTTACGCACCACGGCTTCGGTAGTTGGGCCCGTCTTAAATTGATGAAGGGTAGTTATTGGCCTCCAATGGTTACTTCTACGAAGAATATCAAAACTCGTTCGTATAGTATATAACGTTTTCAATTCACTTTTCTTTTCTTTTGGCATTTGGGCTCAGATGAGGGCTATATAATTTATACTAAAATTTGTTTTGAGGCCTTATTTTTAATATTTTTAAAAGGAATTAGGCTTTTTTGTATAAGCTTATAAATAAAAATATTGATGAGCTTTAAACCTAAGCACCTCGACCCTACCCACTTGGGCCGGGCCTGATTGGAAAGCTTCAAAATACATCTTGGTCACGATAAACAAACATGAAGGATCTTGCGTCTGTTTTCCGAGAACCAGGGTTGCCTCTTTTAGTGTTTCCACTAGATTTCTTACACCTTCTTACGAAAAGGCATTTGTAGGTGTTTTACTTTCTATATCTTACGAGCTATCAGGCATTGACGTGCTTATTAGTCTTGTACAAACCCTTGACGCCATATCTTAGTAAGCTGGCATAGTGGCATGTGTCGAACTTGCTGATATACTCTATATTTACCGCTTTATCACGGTTTTTAATATCATTTTTATCGTATTTTATTGGTATTTTCATTATGTTTTGTCTATTTAGAGTCCAAGTGAGTTTTCTTCCATTTTAGAAGTTCTATAGTGTTTTTGTGTGTCTTTTCGTGTGTTTTGTATGTTTTTGTAAGTTATTCCAGGACAAAATAAAAAAGGACATACATTTGGATACTTTTTGTTTAAAGATAATAGTCATCAAAAACCAGTCCCAGACTCGGATGAAGGTGTACCCTTGGGATTTGTTTTTTCGAAGGTCCTTACGAAAGTCAATAGAAACTTGAGTTAGCTCATTGTGGGTTAATCCGAGCTGTGGTTAAAGAGTTATGGCAGGTTAACTAAAATGTATCAATTTAATGCGTAAAAGAAGTTCATCCGGAAACTTTCCTTGAAAACCTGGAAAGGTTTAGCCAGTGCCGATCCTGTCATTTTTTGGGGAGGTTTTTTAAACTGTTAAATTTTCCATATTTTGCTAACTGTGGGGTTATAAAGAAAAAAAAAAAATCACAATGAAACAAAATGATATTTTTATTTTTATTAAAATGGGCTTAAATTCTTTCATTTATTTCTAAGATACTCTTTAAGTTACTATTAATATTTTACACAAAATGGGCCACGAAATTAGAGGCCCAATACCTATATGTTATATGTATGTGTCAAGGGCAGGACCTGGGTGTAGAGGGACATTCTCACGATCCAAAGTCCATGATCAGACCCAGATCTGTTATGTGTCGATCCGGAAACTTCTCTACTCTAAAAGTTGATTTAGATCCAACCTCTTCTTTTGATATGAGCTTTCATATCTGGAAGGCGTTTGTGAAAATAGACTTGTTATTAATGCTCATTGATCATATAGACAAACATAATTAGATTATTTGTGAAGTTGTTAGTGTCACGGAAGTGGAATTAGTCATATTTGTGAGTTTCATGTTCTGGTTAAACGTCTTACTTCATTGCATGATTGTTAAATTCATTTTCATGATAATAAAACTCATAGTTTAATGCTTTTATCTTATTTTACTTCTTGCATTTTCTCTATGTTAGTTTGAAGCTCGCATATTTAGTGTTGCAATCTTTATTCCTGGTGGGATCGATTTCTAAATTACTATAACGGTTGCGCTTGCACTTGGGTGATTTAGAGATACAAATTTTATAACTTGTGTTTTGAAACCAAAAATATTTCTACAACATTTGCTATGTATTAGGAAACCTCTATGGCTCTATCGATGGTAATTTCTCTCGAGGCTTGTAAGGTCCTCGTTGGATGAAATTCACAATGTCACAACTATTTAATACTCTCCACCTTCTAGTGATTAACTTTTTTTTTTTTTGGGGGCAAAAACCTGTCATGCAAAATTTTGGTTTTCGATCGTCTATACATGTTCCTGTGCAAAATTTTGGAGCACAGTTAAAAAAAAATATACTAGAATTTGATTTGCAATTTTCATCTTTCTAAGAATAATATAATTCTCTATTTAAGACTCGTCTTTACTAATCATTCACTACACTTTATTCTGCTGTTATGTTTTCTTTTTTTGACCATGCAGTGCAATAAACCTGACAGTTACTTCTGGTAACTAAAACATCATCATCGTCCTCACATGTGAACCTTACACATTCCCATGATGTTCTGAATAATGTAATTGACTAATTGTAATGCAAGGCAAGACATCTCTCCTTTGTCTCTCTCACCATAAAAATTAAAGAAAACAAATAAAAACACTAAAAAACCTTTCACTACCTAACACTTGATAACTCTATCTCTTCTTCTTCTCTTATTACCTTCCACCAGATCTCACTCCCCACATTTCAAAGTTTTCTCCCTTTTTGTCGATTTCCTTCTCTTACTCATATTAAACCCAAAACTTAATAAATTCTCTTAAATTTTCTATTCACTGGCTGGGCCAGAGTGTTTATTTGAATAAATGTTTTATTACAGTTTTAGTGTAGTTGTTGTAGTTACATGACAGCTCCTTACAAGCTTAGATCTCTCCACAGTTCTTTCGTTATCTTCCTTCCACATTGACACTTGCCTTAAGAAGAGGGCCAAAGAAAGGTCTCTTGTCTCTTTGTCTGAGCTGTTCATTTTCTTAATTCTCTTGCATCTTGGATTTGCTTCATTACATTCTTTCTCCTGAAATTTTATTAAGTGTTTTTCTCTCTTCTCTCAAATTTGGTTCTAGGATCTGGGATTCTTTCTTCTTCAAGATTTGTAAATGGGTGTTAGTTCTTCAAAGATCTAAAATATCAAGATCAGGTAACTAAACATTAAATTCTCATCTGCTTTGGTACTTACTCTGTATGTGTTGTCTGTTTATATTTATTTTAAGACCAACATTATTGCTTGTGTTCTTTATTATGTCCTTGATTTTAGCTACTTCAGTTGTCCTCTAGTGTGTTTTCCTGGGAAATTTTTGTCTTTCTATGAGTAAATTTCAATGTGGATAAACTTGGGACCACAAAACAAATTCGAGACTCTATCATTAAGCTCATTGCATTTTCATGTATCAACTTGGACTCTGTTTATATCAACCTGATCTTGGAAATTTATTTGTAAAGTTTAGGAAAAAAATGGGAGGTGACTTGAAAAGCCAGCTATCTAGAGAGAGTCATGTGTTTGGACTTAAGGTGTGGGAAGTAATTGGTATAGCTGTTGCATTGCTCATCATAGCTATCCTCTCTGTTCTTTCGTGTTGTCTTACTTCGAAAAAGAAATCAAGAAGATCGAAAACCGGTCTTCCGGTTATCCAAACTCCTCCGGTGGTCTCCAAAGAGATCAGAGAAGTGAGAGTTGAGCATGTCTCAGCTAGTAACTTTGCTCCTGGTGAAGGCATTCTTCTAACAATTCAGGACAAAAATAACAAAGACTCAGAAAAAGTCATGGTTCATTTGGATATGAGGAAGAAGAGAAGTAGTAGTGGCCGGTCAGGGTCGTTTCAT